AAGAGCTGGACTTGCCTTTCAGCAAGTTCTTTTGAAAAATAATTTCCAACACTGAAAAGCAGTTGTTTCTGGTGAGCGACTCAGGGCCATCATGGCCCTCTTGTTTAATAATTTCATTTTTCTTGCGCAATTCTCTAAAATGAGACTTGGTTTTTCTATATGCGTTTCACAATTAACATTCACCATACCAGGTTGTAAAATAACTTAATTTGGTCCTTAAATCAGTTTTTACCACAACATCAAACTTCATTCAGAATTCATGTCACGTTATTGTGAGCAAAATTCTGAGTTTCCTTTAGATATGAGCAAGAAAATGTTTATTACCCCCCCCCACCAAAAAGACGGATATAGAATTAGTCTCCATCCGTCCGTCCGTCTGTCCTTCCGTCCGTCACTCTACATTTTTGTCCGGAGCATATCTCAAAAAGTATCAATTTGAAACTTCATAGGTGGAGGTATCAACTTGAAACGTCATTTGTGGATAAATCATATTTAGGAAAAGTGCAGTGCACAAGAATGATAACTCTACGCTGCATATTTCTTCATTGTTGCCCTTTGTTATTCTTCAAACTCAATTTTGTCCAAAGCATAACTCAAAAAGCCTTTGAGATATCAACATGAAACTTCATGTGGATAGATCTCACTCAGGAGGTGTGCAATGCAAGAGTGATAACTGTACCATTTCTAAATTTTGAGTTATTGCTCTTTGTTATTTTTCATTCTTAATTTTTCACCTGAGTGGAGCATAAATTAACTAAAAAAAACAAACTTTGAGATGTCAATGTAATCTTCATAGGTAGATAGATCTTTTTTGAGGATGAATGTTGTGCGAAAGAATGATAACTCTAACCTTTATAATTTTTGAGTTATTGACATTTGTTATTTTCTTACTTTTTGTCCGGAGAATATCTAAAAAAGTGGTAGAGGTAACAACTTGAAACTTCATAGGTGGATAGCTCTTTTTGATGAGAAGTGCAGCACACTAGAATGATAACTAACCGTGCATTATTTTTCAGTTATTGCCCTTTGTTATTTTTCATACTTAATTTTGTCCAGGGTATAACTACAAAAGCCTTTGAGATATCTACATGAACCTTCAAAGGTGGACAGATCTCACTCAGGAGATATGCAGTGCAAAAGAGTGATAACTCTACCCTTCATAATTTTAGTTATTGCCCTTTGTTATTTTTCATACTAATTTTTTCACCTCAGTGGAGCATATCTCTGAAAAAGTCTTTGAAATGTCAACATGAAACTTCATAGGTGGATAGATCTTTTTTGAGGAGGAATGTTGTGCGCAAGAATGATAACTCTATCCTTTATAATGTTTGAGTTATTGCCATTTGTTATTTTTCAAACTTTTTGTCCGGAGCTTATCTAAAAAAAATGTTAGAGGTAACAACTTGAAACTTCATAGGTGGATAGATCTTATTGGGGAGCATTGCAGCACACTAGAATGATAACATACCGTGCATTGTTTTTTCAGTTATTGCCCTTTGTTATTTTTCATACTTAATTTTGTCCAGAGCATAACTACAAAGGCCTTTGAGATATCAACATGAACCTTCATAGGTGGATAAATCTCACTCGAGAGGTATGCCAGTACACAAGAATGATAATTATTCTGCTCTACTACATATAAACATGGCTCTTGTAACAAGTTACATGATTATGATATTTTAAAACCTTCTGAACAAGTTAACATGTCAATTCAAAACAATGCTATTTGGAGATACCTTATCAATATATTTAACTGGGTTTTTTTTGTTGGTTTTTTTTTGTGTTTTTTTTTTTTTTTTTTTTTTTTTTTTTTCGCCGTGACAATCATATTGCTGCATTTCCACTTTCAGCACTTTTTACTTGTGGAACATACAGGACATTCAACTTAAATCTACGTATTGTGCCAGCAATTTAATCATTCTTGATTCTGGAAGCTTTTCCTTTAATGTTATCCATTTCCCTCAATGTTATTCCGTGGTAGAATCCTGTGTTTTTTAATCTGTTTTCGTGACTTCTGTCAAAATAGTTAATTCCTTTATTTTACACTCAAGCTTATATAGTTCGATTGTTTATGATGCAGCCTCACTTAATATATAGATTTGCCACATAAATCCATCTGAATTTAATTGTTACCACTGTATATTTATAAAAATTTGCAATGAAATTTTTTCAATGTCGGCCATTTTGGACTATTACGTAGAGATTACGTAGTGAATGCAAGGGATAGTTCTTTATCCGATTGCGCATAAAAAGGAACACTTTACATTAACTTTTTTTACTTTCGATATTAGCGCATGATAGCTTATAAATATATCTAAAAATAATTTGTTGAGGCTGTGACAAAAAATTTATTTCGGGTGCTAAGATTGAGTGCATTTCAGTTCTTACATAAACTCGTTTAAAAATACATTTCTAGCTACCTTACAGTATAGATCTATATGATAATCAAATTTATCGCTTAAACGTTCTACATGTAGCTAAAGTTGTTAAAAACTTAAAATGATTACGATGTTTTAATAAAGGTTTAGAAACGTTTTCATTTTGCGTGCGTTTTAGCGTGCGTTTATCGTTTAGCGTATTTCGTTTAGCGTATATCGTTTTGCGTGCGTCTGCGTATTTCGTTTCGTTTTGCGTGCGTATAACGTGCGTTCGTATAGCGTGTAACGTGCGTTCGTATAGCGTGTAACGTGCGTTTTGCGTGTAAACTGACACGTTCACCCTACTGTACGTTGGTGTTGTCATGACGCGGCTCAATTATGGTGATGTTTTATTATTACAATCAAAAGCTGAATTAAAAAGATATCTGTCTGTATTACAGAGTGGACAATAAGTGCATGAGAAGTGTTCTACTCTTTGATCTTTCATACATTAATTGAGATTCCGTTATTTATTTATTATTATGTTACTTTGTCAATCTAAATAAAAGTCTGTTTTGGCTTACAAGACTGAAATTGAACTTGAATAATAATTATTTCACGAACCATATATTGCTTAAAAGTGGACTTTTTTTAAAGCTAGCACATATAGATTTCAATGTATTATTATTATTATTATGTATATATATACATGTATGTTTTGAACTAATGCAACACAATATTTGAAAGATTTAGAAGCTCATTTTTATGTTTGGGTTATCCGTCGCACTAACACTATAATTGTAATATGGCGACCCTCCGTGCATTGTGTAGAAATACCAATGTTCATTAAGCAAGTTTTAAGCTTAATGTTAATATATACTTACTAATCATTCATGCTAAGCAGCAAAAATTGAAACAGTCAAAATAATAAAATATACACATATCTTTTTCTAATCTTTTTTTGGGCAACCATTTTTTAATCATTTACTTAAGCAAAGAAGAAATTGTTAGCCGTAAAGTGATATTATGATTATTTCCTCTCGATCATTTAATATATGTAAACTTTGAACATTCTATAATGATAATGATAGACTTTTAATTGACACTGTTAAAACGTTTTCAGTAAAAATAGAAAACCTTTTAAATACGAAGACTACCTAATACTTTTTTTATCAACAAAACGTCAACAATAAATTATGGAAAATATAAACGGAACCTACTCATGAGTTATGAGGGTAACTGATTAAAATAGTACATAAATTCCAATGATCTTAGAATGACAATATCTTTTATTCATCGCAGTATCTAACGATCATTTATTTCCATGAATGTTTGTCCTTTTGAATTTAGTTCAAAGGCTTTTTAAAATGTGTTTTATACGACTGGCCGTATATCGAGTCAATAATAATAATTATTGGCAAAGCAATATATATTCGTTGTTAATTAATCTCTATAGCGGTCATGTTTTGAACAGTAACTGTTAACTGTTTGTTTCGATAAATAGTAACAAGAATATAGATAAATAGATATTAAGGCATTGTTCAACAATATTGATCTGGTATTTAATTACCTTTCATAAAGGTCATTTGATAAACACTGACCAGTATCTGTCGAATATATCGATATATTTGCTAACTTCACTCGTCAGTGAGCGTGATGTATTGGTATAGAGTGTTGGGCTACCGACCTGAATATCTCTGGTTGGACTCCTTACCAATACCATATTCTAATTATATTTTTTCTATAAATTTACTTGCACGAGTTAATTTGAAATCGTTCTACTACACCTGGTTTTATGATACCTTTTAAGGTACATCAAACTTGTGAATTTGCTACTCCTCAACATTACATGGCAGTATCTGAATTACAAAATAGAGAAGAGTTTTTATAAAAAAAGTTAATAGTTAATAAATATATAGGGATATATCACAATTAGAGGGACTTTTGAATTTTGAAACTGAAAATTACCCACATACTGCTATGTCAAAATTCTGTTTAAAGACTAGGAATTAAATTAAAATATTTTCATAAACATTTAGTCAATCTATCAATGCAGTGCACCCGAGTGATAAAGTTTTGTTACATAACCTCTTTTACGTATTCAGAACTTTTTAACTTGCTTAGGCATACATTTTTGACCTGCCATTTTATCAAATCCTTCTGTTTTTACGTCGTATTTCCTCAAAATATATTATATTTATGCTTCGCTTATTAAAATTAATTAAAACAGATTCATATTCCTATGAACAAAAATATTCATAGAACAAACCTAAATACACAGATTTCGATTGCTTTATACCTGACATAGTAATATCTTTCTAGTATTTATTTACATTTTGTCGGCTTTCTATTGACCGCATAACGGAAGGAAGTAAAAAATATTGAAGTATACCTCACCTGAAAGATCGGGTAATTTTGGCGTATCTTAATGAAAGTTACAATTCTTTTATCACTTTATTTTCGTCCTTGTTAAAAATATATATAAGCGACATATTTCAAATACACGTAATATTTCATGGAACTATGAACAATCGCGTAAGTTCTTTTAATTTTGTACAATTTGGCAGATATACATTTCGTATGGTTACCCGACTGTTGTAAGCGTGATAAAAATTATTGTTTGTTAGAACGGGTACCAAGTAATCTAACATGGCGGAGATGTAGACACGCTGCTGCGGAAAATTTTCTTTTCAAATGATTTTAACTTATTCACGGTAAGATCGGATGTATTGATTATAATTTATACACTGGTACTTCCTTCAATTTCTTTATTCTACAAATAAACAAACCGATCGGCCATGTTGTACGATGACATACCATTTACAAATAATTTACTTTCGTTTTCATTCATCAAAATGTAAACAACAACAAGAGGTTCTCACATGGCCTGTAAAAACGATTTAATTAATTATATTTTATTTCTTTGAAATATTTATGCAACTTTATTATTAAAGTATAGCTTTGAAGGTATGTCAGCCTGACCTTTATATTGTATTAGAAAAATATTTCCGAAACTCATGAAGCGTAAAATGACATGAATGAAAGTGCATATACAAGTAACTCGCTATGGTGTACTGATGTGCTCAAAATTAATGGAATTTAATGTGGATATATTATTTATGGAATTTATTTCAATTGTTGTGTCATTGTATTTAATAATTTGAAAATATTCATTTCTTGGATAACTTGTGGTGAAAACTTGTTGTGAACATATTGCTTGAAATTTAAGAAATATTGTAGTGGCAACTGTAATTTTTACCCCACCAGGATGGGAAATAAAAGAAATAAGAAAGGTAAAAGACAAGTTTTTAATAAGACCACTGGAATTCATAGCTTGAATTATAAAAGGAAAATTGTGATGAAAGATGAAAAGTTGAAAAATAAGTTGAGGAATCTTAAACATGTGGACCCATTCTATATTAGGCAGAAAAAGCAAGGTTACAAATATATACTAAGTAAAATAATTATTCAGAAAGCCAGAAAATTTAACATGACAAAGAAAACGAAAGACTTCATATAACGTCATTAAAAGATAATTTAGAAGGTAATAGAGTTATGAACAATCATAAACTGAAAGATCACATTTTAGAAATATCTTCACATGCCGCTCTTTGTACTGAAGCTCACATGAAAGCCCTTTCAAATGACAATGAAATTGTCCTCGAAAGTGAAAAAAGGAATGGTTTCTATACCATCATCACCTGTAAATGCCAAGGATGTGGTAAGACATTTGAACTGGAAAACAGTGAGAAGTTTGGTTCAACAAATATGGTGGATATAAATGTTCGTTCAGTTTGGGGTAGCATGGTAACAGGAGGAGGTTGTTCTTCCCTCAATGAAGGTTTTGGAACTATAGGTGTTCCGGGCATTACAGAAAAAAAGTATTCGTCAATTGAGACAGAGATTGGGCGTATGTGGAAGTCCCTTCTTGATGAATAACTTGTGAAAACAGGTCAGGAAGAGCGTGTATTGGCAGAGGAAAATGACGAATATTTTAAGGTATTCCAGCAATAACTGTCATATGTGATGGAGGGTGCAGTACGCGTACCCACAAACATAGCTACAATGCCATGGCTGGAGTTGCTGTCATCTTTGGTGCAAGAACAAAGAAACTTCTTCATTTAGGTATCAGAAATAAAATTTGTTATATATGTAGCCGTGCTGAAACTGCAAATGAAGAACCAGTACAGCATGAGTGCTTTAAAAACTGGACTGAATCTTCCCAGGCAATGGAAAGTGATATCATTTAAGAAGGTTTTTAAATTGTGAAAGACAACATGGAGTAAGATACGTGCATGTAATAGCTGATGGAGACAGTTCCGTCTATGCAAATATTATAAAGAATGTACCTGTTTGGGGGCAATATGTAGAAAAAATTGAGTGTGCTAACCATGCCACTAAATGCCTTAGATCCAAGTTAGAACGCTTAATATGTGAAAAACCCCATTATAAAGGAAAATGTGAACTGACAAGAAATAACATAAGAAGAATTTGTTCTGGTGTAAGATGTGCTATTGTAATGCGAAGTGCTGAAACCAAAAAATGACAGCAATTAAAAAACTTAAACAGGATATAAGAAATGCCGGGAGACATGTCCTTTACGTTCAACAGATTTTTGTAAAAATAAGGAAAAAAATACAGACATAACAAAATCAGATGATAGCAAAACGGAAAATACCAATAATGATGAAGAAGATATTATAATAAGCCAATGCGAGTACTGGACTGACTCGGTAAAAATATTCTGAAACTGAAATTGAAATGTTACGAAAGGGCGGTAAGACAATATCACAGAAAAATTTTAATATTGAAGAGTTGTTAAGAGACATTTTTCTATTTTTGAATCGTCTATCGGAAAAGGCAAACCGACTTATTGGTAACTTTACCAGTAATTTAGCTGAGTCATGGATGAGCATAAAATGTAAATTTGAAGGGGGTAAAATGTTAAACAAATGCTTCCGTGGTTCATTTTACGCAAGATGTTATGGTGGAGCATTAAGGTCTTTGCTAGGTCCAGCATGGTCACCATGAGTTTACAATCAGCTTACAGATTAACGCCAAGATAGAGTTTTTATTAGTACTATAGACAAAGGTTTGTACGCTACAGGTGTACTAAGCGTGCCAAAGATAGTCAAATAATCAGGAACAAAAGGAAATTGAAGAAAATGAAATCATCTCTTCAAAGCACCAGTAAGAAAGCAAAACAAGAATACGGCGAAACTGTGCTGCAAGATACAGCCGATATCAGTCCATCACAATTAAAAAAGGAATGTGATATGTTTTATAAATCCAGTAATCTACATGCAATAGTAAATTAATTGAACAGCATACACGTGGTCAGTCAAGTAACCTTAACTGGTTTGCTTAAAGAAATTAAACACTCACAAGTTCCGTATTTGGAGAAGTGATGTCAAGATCGCAAAATAATAACAGTCCCTATTTAGTGAAAAGGCTTCTCTATTCCAACTAACTTTAAAGGTAACATGTATACTTTGAAAGGTTTAAGTGAATAAGTGAAGAGGATAATGCAATAATTGAATACATTATTTTGAAAGAGAAAGATGAAAATATTAAATACAATATTGATGTTCCGGGTTTAATTGTTGACAAAGATAATCCTTTTTTAGCAGCCTCAAGCGATAAGTAATACTTGGATCCAAAGGACCTGAAGGTCTCATTGAAATTAACACTTTATTACAGAACAAAAAGCAGTGATCAAAGAATCTGCAGAAAATGATAAAGCCTTTTGTTTGTCAGTGCAAAATGGCATTTTTCAACTGAAAAAAAATCATAAATATTTTTACCAAATACAAGGTCAGATGAATATTATGAATTACAAATGGTGTGATCTAATAATTAGAAGAATAAATCCACATGATATGTTAATTTAACGCATATACAGTGATACAGAATTATGGAAAAAAGTTATGATTTCCAAATTAAAGGCTTTCTATTTCACCCACATGCTACCTGAATTAGCAGTTCCAAGACATGGTACTCTATCTGGAATAAGAAAACCTGAGTTTCCATGGGTATGTTCAAAATAAATGTACTTCTAATTTCTTATACTAGTAATGTTTTGGTTTCTTTCACCATATTTACATTTGCATAAATATATTTCATCCTATGTAATAACTTACCATTTATAATAATAAATATATATTAATTGTAACCTATATCTTTTGCCTAATCCTTCATTTTTATATTTTACAGTTTTGTGGTACGTCATGCAAGAGATCAGAGAAAAAACACTCTAAGAGAAGTGAAGTTGACAAATTGGACCAAAAAGACTTGCATACTGAGATTAAGACAGACACAGATATTTACATTGCAACCCCATTAATACCAACACCAACACAATCAAGTAAAAGGTGATTTATTTTAATGTATATAACTATATATAGTTAATATCTTTAAAGAATTCTGTTAAATAGGAAATATTACCAATGTGAACTCTTTTAAGAGCTGTAAATTTGTTTAGGAAATACCAATATGGAGAAAACATGAAAGTGTTCTTTAAAGTCAGGTGCTCTTAAGTAACAGGTAATTTTGTTTCTTAAATTATGGAAAGGGACAATTGAAATGTACTTTTTAAGTACAGTTGGTATTTCGCAGTATTAATGTTTAGATTGCACAGTATACATGTATAAAGAAGTATTTTAATGATGTTTAGAATTTTCAATATACCCTTATTTGAATTTAATAATTTTTGAATGAAGCTGTTTTATTAATTTATGTTCATGTACTTTTTCACTGTGTACTGTAACACAAATGTTGACAAAATATTGTGCAGTACATGCAATCCTTTCCTATCATGATGAGTATAAACTTATATTATTGCCTTTATACAATATTCGCACCTGTAAATTATTCTCAAATTAACTTTTGTTAACTATTTTTAAACATTAATTTTGCATAACATCCAAATAAATGAGCAAATTTAACTTGCAACTTTATTTTAAGTTTAAAAATGGCTAAAAATTATAAATATTTATTTCAGATTTTAATTGCCTTCAACATGTATTTGAAAGGGATAGTTAATATTTTTTATACAAATTTGCAGATCAACACGTTTGAGAAAATTAAAATTCCTTGGGAGGAGAATCAACCACCAGTGGACAGAATCAGACGGCTCTGTGAAATGGTACAAAGGCACCGTGCTTTCTGTTTCTTCTGGAAAAGACGGAAATCCTGATGTAGCATATGAGGTGCTATATGAAGGCGAAGACGCGTCATATGAAGTTGATTCTTTGATCAAAGACTATAATGAAGGCACCTTAACTTTCATAGATTTGTAATGGTATACTTAATTTCTCTACCCAATTTATAGTATACCATGTACTGTATGTTTTTATATTTAAAAATTGTATTTAAAAAATATTTAAATAACATTATGCATAATATCTTTTAAATATTAATATCATATTACAATAGCTTTGAATGTAATTAATACTCTATAATAATTTACAGTTTCTGAATTTATGCTTTTATGTTTAATTAATTTTGCAAGAAGGTCATGTTTCAATTCATTTTAATGAATTATTACAAGAAGGAATATTATCCTGCTTATCTTATGGATTATTGCAGTAAAAATTTTTATCAGTAAGCCATGTCCATAATAGTACACCATACTTAACCTTGCATTACTTTTGTGTAATTGGATTTAGATAATGTTGTGTTTACTGGCCTTATTGGAATATAAATTTTCAATTGATAAGTAATTTTTTCAGGTAATGGAGATTCAGTGTCACTAAAATAGATGTTACTTTAAAAGTTTTCATTCATCATATCACATATTTATCATTGGAAGGAACTTTATTTTGACATACAAGTTACATGTGCTGCAAACTTATTCAGGTAAGGCTTTTGCTTTTATTTTAATTTATTTTCTTCTTCTTTTTAGGCAATGTAACAGCTTCTTTATAGGTAAAGGATTAATGCCTCAACAGTCTCCTCTTCAAATGTACCTCAGAATACTTCAGTTGAAAGTTTTAATTTTTGACCTAAAATTTTCAAAAAAACAATATGGCTGACATTTGCACCTTAAGTAGTGTTTTTAATCACAGTTATATCTTTATTTCATTACAGTATCTTTCAACGGTTCTCTTTGTGACATTATGCAATCGAATATGCTTTAGCGCATACACGCTGTAAAGGCGGTAGATAGTTCGCACAACAAAATAAAAATGTACTAGTTTTAAGAGAATTTAAAATTAAATTTAAAAGAATCGTTGTATCAATCCACGTAGTAAATGATAAAATAATAATCTTAAGATACGTAAAAATAAAATCTTTCAGTCTTAAAATACAAAAAAGGTACTTCAGCAGAAGGAATTGATAACAACTTAATGAAAATGCTTGGCAAATAAATATTTCTTAACATAAGTTTGTCGCATTCCGAACAACAATCTCATGGAAGTTTCATACGAGTTATTAAATTAATGCACGGTAAGTATATTTACTTTTTGTTATATAAACAAAATTGATTTTATATTATCGGTAATTATAAACATTCTAAAGTCAATACCAAGGCGTAAAAGACTTAACGTAATATTTTTGTGCTATAGCATATTTCAAAACTGCTACATGTCATAAAAAGCCTTATGTCTGTTAAAATAGAGATAAACAGAATCCCTAAAGAAAGCCCAACACGGCAAAACTGAAAATGTTGTTAAGCCGTACACGAACTGTCACATTGCTGCTTAAACTCATTTAACTATTTATCATGGATTCTAAGTCTCATAAAGCTCTCCTCATGGCTGATCATCTTCATTTAGCAATGACTTCATGACTTATGTTCTCTCCTATGTTTGTTTGTTGTCATGTTGGACTCATTTCTGGTTCATATGTGTTGCTGGCTTTTGTTATGGATGCGTCCATGTAATACCTTCTTTCCTTATTGATCTTTGTTTTCATATGTCTGTGTTGAATCTTTGTGTAAACTTGTTTAAACAATATCTTAAAAAATAAAATCATACCTCATCCACCTGTATGGTGTTTATATTTGTAGTTATAAGATACAGACCTCTTGCCTGTTAAATCAGAGTCCAGAATTTAGCCCATAGATGTGGAAAACAAACAAAGAAGAGTTTGAAGAGTCGAATTTGAATTAGTCATTTTAAAATCATGGAATCTCATTGGCCGTTCTAAAATTAAATAAAATGTACAGGATAGTTCTTTAACTTTCTAGCTATATTCCTGTTTAAACATACTTCCTCCCACAAAACATTTTATCTTGTATTAAGATATCATTACACTGTCTAGTGAAACGTTTATTTTAATATGTTAGAACTTACAGTTGAAGTGTTATATCGTTATAAATTTTGTTGAAAATTGCAGGCCACAACTAACGTTCATGATCATGTAAGTTTATTCATGAACATGAAACTATTGAAGAACACACCATTTATGATGTTCAATAAGTGTTCAATATATTTTATGATCATTGATGCTGTCAATTGGTATAAATTAATGTTCTAATTTGCATATCAATCAAGTTTTTATAAATCTAATTTTGCACTGACTGCGTAGGTGTTAGAAAATGAGTTCACTTACGAAACCACAACAGATTTATTAATGAACACACATCTTTAAGTGGTCCATTTTCAAGATCAATAAGTACATTGTTTATTCTGTCAAATAAAATAAATATGTATCGAAAGTTTAGAAATAAGAAGTTAACCAGGTTTGCTTCTGCCGAGAATCTTATTAAAAGATACTTCTCTTGTTTCTTTTTGGCGTCTTACTATTTCTAAGTTAAGCATGAAAGGTATTGACATTGAAGCATGAACACATCTAGGTTATAATTTAGTTTATTTTTAACCAGCTGATATTGGCATGTTTGTCCCAGTTGAAGTTCTCGTTTAAGATGCATTTTATACCTCTCATTATGATGGCTTTATTTGCTATTCCTCTATAAATATCCTATAGTGACATAAAAACATTGTTCAGGAGAATAATTTATATTCTCTTGTTTATTAAGAATGATTTATTCATCCTGTTTTTATAGAGTTATAACTTCCGGTAAACGGCGGTGGTGATATAGTTGCAATCCTATACTTCCGGTTTGTCGTAAAACACATATTTCATATACACATCTTGCGGTTTATTGAATTTGATTTATCCAAGTCATGATAAAAAGATAACAAATATTTCTTGATCCATACATTGATTTACTGCAATCGTGTTACGTACGTTCAGAATCATTCTGAGCACAGGATGTAACTTTATTTCATATATTTTATATCTGCTTCATTTGCATTGAAGATAATAAAAGTAAAGCAATGTAGATTTTATTTCGAAATAAGATAAATAATTAGAAATGGTCCGTCTTTAATTTAGAATTGACAGGTCACTTAAAATGACCGTTCACGTTTAATAAACATATGTCATAGTTTTTGTCATTTTCTTGTATGTAAATCAAAGTGTTATTTCATCTCGTTTTCTTACCATCAATGTATCAACGTGTGTTGCCGAAGGTTATACATCTTACATTACTTGACTTTCACACTCAAATGAGTTGAAATGGTAACTTTACAGGTAAAGTTACAGACGATAATTAATTAATTTCAGCAGGAACATATCCAATGCATTAACACCAAAGCCACAATGTTGACATATAGACATATAAAATAATAATAATAATAAAAACAAAATCCCTTAAGGTAGACCACTGCTAATGCATTATCTTTACTTTGGAGAGTATTCAAATAGGCTAGAATCACTTGTCAACTGCATTGAAACTCAGGGGCGTGGGTTCAAACCCCAGAAGGGGTATTTTTCTATTTTTATTCTTTTTAACATTATATATGTGTCTCTCAGATCGGTGTTTGATTTTAATTCTATAATTATTGTTGGTATTTATTTGCTAAATAATGCCAAATTTTATACCAAATATGATACCAGATGTCTTTTCAAAGTTTAATAGAATAAAAACTTCACGGTAAAAGTATGTTTTATTTTGCAACCAACATACTTTTAAGAAAATTTAGGCAAAATTTGAAAATATTATTATTTGTTTCTTAACAATGAGCAATAGGAAAATATTTTTCATAATGAAGATATTAAATATTATTAGAGTTTCCTCATTTCTGAAAAAAAAAACAACTTTTTTAATAGGAAAGTTTTAGTTCAGAAAAATGTCCATAACTTCTAAAATATACGGTAAACTTTATTTGAATTTTGCATTCAGGTCACCTTTAAGGCATATAACTGTCATATGTTGACAATTTTAAGTTCCTTAAAGTGCCCATTATGAATGGTTCACCTTAAAAAAACCCAACACTGTGAAATTGATAATATTGTATACCAGGATTGCTTGATCTTGTTCAAAACCAATAATATGGTCATTGCTTTATAGCAAAGTCTGCAGGAAACCTTGTATGAAACAAAGCAGTTTTATTAAAGAATTTTTCACATCCGTTATTATAGCTCCACCAGTAAAGCAAGAAAGTCGTCATAGTTATGACCTGTACTAAGTTGGTGCGATCTTCAGATATGTAGTGAAATACCCTTTAATATAACTATGATATAAAGAATGCAACCAATACGTTAAACATGTTTTACAAACAGCCTCTAAATAGTGCAGCTCGATTAATTGTTATCAACGGGAAAGAATATGCATTGTTATTGTTACAGACGCGCAGTCTGATCAGGATCCATGCTGTTCGCTATCAGTTTCTCTACTTGTAAAAGGGTTTGTAAGCGAACAGCATGGATCCTGATCAGACTGCGCGGGTGCGCAGGCTGGTCTGGATCCATACTGGTCGCAAACACATTATGTTGGTTTTGTCGTGGCGCGGCTCATATATCAAAGCATATTACGTCGACTCAAACGTTTGTTGCAAGGGGCAAATATGATATTAACCATTCAGTCTCCTTGTATTTCATGTGAATGTGTGATTGTTAATGTTTCCAAAATGATATCCATGAATTGAATTGTAGCAAGTTTAAGAATAATAAGACATTGTTGCTTCTGTCTGTTAATTAATTGGATAGCCGCTATTGTGTCTATGTATCTTCACTTTTGTCATTTTATAATGGTAGAAATTATTAGTTGATATTTATGGTACATTAATGATGCTTAGAATAATGCTAACGATAATTAACCTTCCTTTAAAGTTTTAAGGCTATATCGTATTTCTTAAAACTGTAATTATTTTCGCATTATCTGCTCAACCTTGTGTTATTTTAATCTTCTATTTAAAGGTGATAAGCTGTCTTATGCATATACACGCAACTTTAAAATGTTTTTATTGTGTTGTGTTGTAGTTTGTTCATTATCAGAGGAAAAATAAATCTCAATATTAATGCATGTTTACTCATTTATATGTAGTACATATTATTCAATCTAAAATAAAAGCAGACGTAATATTTCAAATCTGTTATATGGTTATTTAACTAATACATCAAATTACACAGAAATGCAGAATTTAAAATTTTGGAAACAAAGTGATCCCTCGGAAGCATGAATCACAACAAAATTACAAGAGAACTGCAGAACAAAATGTTTCTTAAAACATAATTTGTATAAATCAATAGTGTTGAATAATAGAAACAACTACTGTATGTTAAATGTTAAATGTTTATATTGTATTAATCAATTTTGCATTACTTTACACTTTTATTTTTTTGATCATTTTGCAAGGACATCATATTTTGCTTTTTTTTGTCCATTTTAAAATTATTCTATTGTTACTGCGACCTCAGTATAAAATGTAGTTTTATACGTCATACGTAAAGAAACAAACCATTTAGCATGTATAAAAACGTGACAAAGGATTATATGAGACTACTTATCTACATCTGTAAAACATACAGTCTTTAAATGAACTTGTCGCAGCATGACATC